GTTTGGTGAAATGGTTACGGTGTGTTCTGCTCTTATTTGGTAGGGCATCCTCCTGGGTCGTTGCACACACCTTGGGGATTTTCCTAAATGTAACATAGTGGAACCGGAATACACTTTTTGTTCACGGAAGAGCAAAGTCACCGTGAGAAGCAAAGAAAAGGTGTCGCTGCTTAGAATGACTTCATAAATAGAGTCCATGTGAGGAACGCATCGAACTTCAGTGAAGTGAAGAACAGTTGTGATAGCTATGTCCCCGATTTGCAAAGTAACCTTTTTAGAGCCTGCCAGCGCCACTTGAGTACCCGCCATGCCTACCGCGGTGTATGCTCTTGGTGGGTCCAATTGAAAGATACCCAGAGCTGGACATAGGTCTCGAGAAGCCAATGTTATGCAGGAACCTGTATCAATTAGTGCAGATACATATACCCCGTTAACTTTAAGGCTTATATGGGCGGAAAGAGGCGCGCTGTCCGATGATAAATTAAAGACCCTTGGGAAATTTTGAGGGGGTCCAACTGGGGAACCAGTGTCTACGGCTACAGTGGTTTGCTCGCGTAATGGAATGGCCTCCGTGTGACCAACGCCTTGTCTCTGTAAACCAGACAACAAACGCGCTGCCGAGGAATTCAGAGAAAACGATGCATATATCGCGAGCGCACGTAAAAGCATATTTACAGTAACGAAGAGGCAACAGATAGTAACCCATGATTGATACAGATATATTTGGAGGTATGCAAAAGGGGTAAGTGCGAAAGCGGTGGTAGCCACGGAGTGTAGAGACGCACTTTGAGTGTCCGACGGATGAGCATCCAAATGGGCATCTAATGCTGCTTGAGATCCTTCCACTGCTGCCCACAGTTCGCTAAACTGTAGTTGAGGCAGACACTCGCTGACATTGGTCAGAACGAGATTGTGGAAAGGGGTTAGTGCCGGTTTCACGTTGTAAAGCGGAGGCGTGTCAGCGTGAGGGATTACGGTGATGAGCGAGGGCGCCACTTCCTCATAAGCGCCTGACATAGGATAAAACCGTGTTATGGATCCTTGATGAGCCAACTCGAATACCATTTTCTGCCTGCATTTCGAAGGGGATGCCGAGTTAACCAAAACGTACGTTACGGGATCGAGGAGAGGTATGTGTTAGGAGAACTGTGGTAAGCGAATACAGTAGTCTGAAAGATGATACAGTTAGCTACTGTTAAAGAGTGCTCTGTGCAGTATTGGAACGGAGCTGACGGCCATTCAAACTGAAGTTTATTCATGGTTTTCCATAGTGTGCCAACTGCTGTGAGTTTCCCATGCGAAAAAGATTCATGCCGTACCATATGCCGACATACGCCTACGGAGACAGCTTTTTCTTGCGTGGACGTAATTTGTGAGCGGGCGCCGAAGGTTGACCGAGTAGGTTACCGTTTGAGAGACAATTCGGCATACATGGGCCGCACTCTGATAGCGAATGGTGTTCGGTCTATAGACGTTAAGTGCCAGTACTTGTGGTGGAGAAGATAATGGAGGCAATATTCGAGAACAGTTGATTTGCTCAGGAATTCTCCAGTAACTCATGGGCGATTTATTAGAACAGAGATAGGCAGGGGGCAAAGATGAGGCTTGTGTGCAAGCCGCCAAGGCTACTATCGTCATGCATGTATATGCCCATGCAGGTGTGGCATTGAAAGACTAGGGTCTCATACTGGAACTATTGTTATGGTCATTATGGTCATTGGAAATGCTTGTTCGTTGAGTAGCAAGTACTAGGTCTGCTAGCGTATTATTTCGTTCGATGAGCGCAGCTATTTGAGCGTCTTTGTCATCATCCGTTATGGTGTTATTACCCTGATTATTTACCATCTCTATGGCTGGTTCTGCTGTAAGAACTGCGCGTGGTGTTGCTTGTCTAGGGTACCAGACGCGACCCGGACGTTGTTGGGTGGGACCAGACCCGCGATACTGCTCATTAGAATTACGGGGCGAATCCGCTATTGGCGTTCTCAAATTGCGCGTTGCCGGCGGTAGAGGGGGGTGAATGTTAGCGGGAGGCAAACTGAAACTACAGAACGTCTGAAAATGACCCCTTCGGCCGCACCGATAACAAACTACATCCGTGTTGGGTGCCCTCTCCCAGAATCTTCGATTTCTACCGCTGTTAGTAGGATATCTGAAAGGCTTCCTACGTTGCCCTCTCTGATAGAATCCCGATGTTGGCGGGTTGGAATTGCTCCTCATTGATACAACGCGTACCGGTGGAGGCGCGGTTGACTGAGCGCCCG